AAAGAGATCGAGACCATCCTGGTCAACATGGTGAAACCCCGTCTCTACTAAAAATACAAAAAATCAGCTGGGCATGGTGGCGCGTGCCTGTAATCCCAGCTGCTCAGGAGGCTGAGGCAGGAGAATTGCCTGAACCCAGGAGGCGGAGGTTGCGGTAAGCCGAGATCGCGCCATTGCACTCCAGCCTGGGTAACATGAGTGAAACTCTGTCTCAAAAAAAAAAAAAAAATATTTTATTTATAATCAGTTTTTTTTATTAAGTAACAAGAATTGTTCAAACATAGAATTTCATGTAGATGTGCCCAGAATTTTTTTTAAGTCTACAGACCAAACTACATGTAAAGGTTGCTAATGTTCAGGAGACAGATGCCAGTTACGATGGCTACGGTGCTGGTGATGGTGGTGATGGAGACAGCGAAGACAGAAGACCTACAGGAAGAGGCCTGATGGGTAAAGGGCTCTGCCTCTTTGGACTTGGCTGCTGCTGGGGCCTCTCCATTAGTTTCAGCATTGGGACCCTCCACTGCTGTCGGACATGGTTGGAGATGATGCTCCTTCAAGAAGGAGGTAGGGCCCCTGGCCTTGTCTGCCAGGAAGGCAGGAAGAAGGGGAATGGCCATGCTGAGGGAGAGGAACCCCCACACTGTTACATGACACAGGGTTAGGGGTTTGGCTCCATGGCATGGTACATACATGTGCCTTTGGTTGTATGCTTGCAAGAGAAATCTGGGGCCCCTGGGGTTTCTGCCCCCACTCCAGCCTTGACTCCCACCTTTGCAATCCCTAGAAGGGCTTTCTAGAGCTCTGAATTCAGCCTCTTCACTCAGGACATGTGGTGAATCCTGAACTGGAACCTTTTCCCAAAGGCCTCCTGGGACCAGGAAGGCTGTAGTGTTGGGGCCCCCAAAAGTTGATTTTGAGAAGACTATTATGTGCCCTAGACGTGTCTCCTCACTCTGTTTGAGCTTTCCTAAGCTTGGACATTTTAAGTCAGGGGAAATGCTCTGAATTCCACATTGTCTCCTGCCAGCTTACGCCCTTCCATCACTTCAGATTGCTGAGATGTCCAAGGCTCTTCGCTAATTAATAGGCCCACCCAGCTGCAGACCCGTGCAGTTCTCATTGGTTCGATGATGTTATGGTCTCTCCAGCTGTGTCTAAGATCTGGCGGTGTTTGAGACCAAGATTGGGGAAGTTGTAGTGTCTGAGGTTGAAAGTAAGGGGAAATATTAGCAACATCAAGGGAAGCGTCTCCCGGAAGAGTAAAGTGAACTCACTAACCGCAGTGGTGCTCTGGGAGAGGTGGGAGGCCCTGCAGGGGTGTGCCCCTGGGACCTCCTTCCAGAAAAAACAGCTCTCAGCTCTGGGTAATGAAGTGGGCCCATGTGCCCTGGGTAGGACTCCAGGCAGCTGACGGCCAATGGCTGAGCTCTAATTGGAGCTTTGAGGGCCTGGCCATTTCTCTATGTGTCTTTGCTCCTTATGAGGTTCCCTCACTCCATCTGGGGTGCATTCAGCCTGAGCTGCCCCCACCCCTCACTTTTATTCCCTTATTTTTATTATTTTCTTTTTATAGAGATGGAGTCTTGCTGTGTTGTGCAGGCTGGTCTTGAATTCCTGGGCTCAAGTGATCCTCCCACTTGGCCTCCCACTGCTGAGATTACAGGTATGAGCCAGTGCGCCTGGCCATGTTCCCTTATTTTCATCAAGGATCTCCACCCCAGTGCCTGCGGCAGGATGGGCCTCTGGTCTCTGAGCACCTGGGAGGCAAGGTGGGTTCTGAACAAAGAATCCTCTTCAATTCTGAAAAACACAAGCGTCAGGCTGGATGGGCACCTAAAAAGAGCCCTCCTGAAACCAGTTCTGTCTGTGGAACCTCATCTTCTACGGAATTTAGTAATCCAGTAGAAAAGTAGTGCTTGGTCCGGGCGCGGTGGCTCACACCTGTAATCCCAATGCTTTGGGAGGCCAAGGCGGGTGGATCACGAGGTCAAGAGATTGAGACCAGCCTGGCCAACATGGTGAAACCCCATCTCTACTAAAAATACAAAAAGCAGTTGGGTGTAGTGGCGTGCACCTGTGGTCCCAGCTACTCAGGAGGCTGAGACAGGAGAATCACTTGAACCTGGGAGGTGGAGGTTGCAGTCAGCTGTGATAGCACCACTGCACTCCAGCCTGGGTGACAAGGCAAGACTCTGTCTCAAAAAAAAAAAAAAGGTGGTACTTTCAGAAAAAATTTCTTTGCAAAACACAATGAACCCATTGAGTGCAGAGTGAAACTTTAAAAGTCACATTTGTAGAAATTAGGAGCTTTACGATTTATAATTTAATGGTTTATAAAGTGAACCACAGGCAGGCAGAGCCACTTTGCACAGAGCACAGTGTTTTAGGGGTGGGGGCCCCCACGACCTCCGTGGGTGGCAGCAGCCCCAGGCAGTGCTTCTCAGGTCCTGTGGGAGCCCCACTCTGGCCTCTCAGGCCCTCTTGGGTTCAGGCCAAGGTCACCTTGCAGTAGAAGAGGATCCTCAGGTGTCCTCCAACAGCTTCCCCAAAGGAATGACCCCTCCTGGCAGCACCCTCAGCCCTCAAGTTCCCTCCTCCCTGCTGTCACCTCAGCCCTAACACCCATTCTGAGGGCAGCCCAGGTCCTCATGGTCTACAGGGTCTGTCCAGCATCCACACTGGACAGCATTTTGTCCTTCCCTCACGGTACAAATGGAGAGGAGAACCCTGCTGTGTGACCTGTGGCCCTGCAGGACATCATGATAGAAGCAGACACCGTGATTGCTCCTGGAAGCACAGGGAACTGTCCGAAGCCTGCTGGCCAAGTCTGTCTTGGTCATCCAAATATCTTGGTCTGTGGCCCTGAGGGCTCTATCAGGCTGGGCTGCCCAGTGATTTTAGCAGTCATTAGCGCTTGGAGGCATCTCTCTGTGACCTGGCATCACATGATCTCAGGATCACAGAGTGTTTGGAACAAAAGCAGCAAATCAGCCAACACAAGCCCTGGATCACTGACCCCAGGAGGAGAGGCTGAGAGCAGCGACCACTGCGGGCTTGTCGAGCCTTAGCTTCGGGCAGAGCTGTGTCGGGGATTTCCTCTCTATTGGGTGACAAAGGCCTCCCTGTGCGTGTACTGATTGTTTTTGATTGATTTTGTGAAAATTTCTAAGGCGACTCCAAGTCTCCAAACAATAACTAGGCAGGGAGACAGGTGAGGGAGGTGTGGCCAGGGAAAGGTGAGTGCCCAAGGCAATTTTCACGTCCAGATGGGGAACAGCAACATGGAATATCTGTGAGTTGGTTGGAAATTTTATTTATTTCTTTTTTTTTTTTTTGAGAAGGAGTCTCTGTTGCCCAGGCTGGAGCGCAGTGGCGCAATCTTGGCTCACTGCAACCTCTGCCTCCTGGGTTCAAGTGATTCTACTGTCTCAGCCTTCAGGGTAGCTGGGATTGATTGTAGACACTTGCCATCATGCCCGGCTAATTTTGTATTTTTCGTTTCACCGTATTGGCCAGGCTGGTCTCGAACTCCTGACCTCAGGTGATCCATCTGGGCCTCGAAAAGTGCTGGGATGACAGGCATGAGCCACCACACTCAGACGGAAATTTTCAAACTAAGTGTCTTAAA